AGCACTTATCCGATATAAGATATATTGACTTTTTAATTTGTTTATTTTTGGCCTCCTCCCACTAGAATGGAAGCTTCCTAAACAAAGGCTGTTTCTGTTTTGCTCAGTGTTCTATCCCTCAGTGCTTGGCAAGTGTCTGGCCTACAGTAGAGCTCAATAAATACTTGTTGTTGCAGGAATCTAAGCTATGTACCGTTAGGCAATCTATTGTGGTTATTGAGGCCACGGCTCGTCAAACGCGGGGAAGAGTAGTAGAAAATGAGTCTGCAGCTCCAGTGCGTGTAGAGTCTCCCAGGCCTGGGCAAGGACGTCGTAGAGCTAAGCAGACCACTGACTATAGATAGGAGGCCCACATAACGATGGTCACTTAACCCCGACGAGTGGCCCCGGGAAGATTTGTGGGAGGAAATAAGATAAAAGCCAAGATTTGGAGGATGAGTAGACATGAGGCAGACTAAAGGGCATGAGGAGAGAGTTCTAGAAAATGAGAACAGCCTATTGGAGAGGCTAGGTAGGGGAAGAGAGGATGCAGCATGTTCGTGAAACCTGAAGGAAGCCCGGATGGCCGGGGCGTGCAGACCGGGAGAGGAGGAGGGGGAGAGGTGCGCTGGAAGGGAGGCAGGACGGAGCTGGCAGGACCTGACGGGTCTGGACTTTGTCTCGAGGCTCCGTGGAGATGTGGCTGTGGTAGGGCACGACTGGACACAGGGGCAATGAGGAGCCCATTGTTGCAATCGAGGCACGAGTTCATGGCCCTGGGACTGGTGGAGATGGGAAGAGGTGGGTAGAATCAGAATATACTCAGGATAGAGGAAGGACGAAACTCGTCATAGGCTGGAAGTAGCAGGTGCCATCACGGTTTGGAGAAAGAAGAGGTTTTACTCCTGGTCAGGGAATCGGGAAGGCTATTCATGGGGGAGTGGTGCGTGCTTGAGTGGGGTTCAAGGTCACACGTGGTGAGGAGGCAGAGAGAGTGGCAGGTAGGAGGTGCAGAGCCTGGAGCCCAGAAGTCGGGAATCATTCAGAGAATTGATCGACAGCAAGTCGTCTGATTTGGATGGAGCTTGGGGCTCATGTAAGGAGGTTTTGAGAGAGAAGGGAGAAGAAAAAGTGGAGTTACACAGTGACGGTCGAGCTCCAGCTGAGTCGGCTGGCCATGGAGAGGTGTCAGAGGTCTCTGCGGAGACGGGTAATGATCTGGATTATTCCCTCAGTAAATCCACTTGGGGACCTCAGTTATCCAGACAGAATGACTTTTGCTTAGGTTTTTTTTTTTTTTTTTTTTAAGCACAAGTGTTTGTCAGATTTCCACTTTACCGGCTGCGGGTAGATTTAATCTAAGGGGAAACCCCAGGCTGCCTGCTGATGTCACGGTCCTCTCCGCTGTCTTCCCCTTCCCCTAGCATATCTGGGGACAGGGCTCGCAGATTCTGTTCATATTAGAGGCCACAAGAACGTTTCCAAGAGGGTCAAAGTTAGGGGAATTGAAGAGAAATCTTCATTGAAGAGTAGATGAGTACAAGAAATGATTTCATTCCTTAAACACGCCTAACAGGTATAAATGGAGGAATATGACATAAAAGAAACAAAAGTTGCTGTTAAAAGAAGGGGCTTTGGGGCACTTTCATTCATCCAGAGGCAAGAATTTTGTTGCGGTAGAGCGTCCAGTCGGACTGGGTACATTCGGACGTGCATCATGTGAGCTGCGTGGCTTTGTGCAGATTACTGAGCCTCTCTCAGCCTCCGTTTACTGTACAGAGGGACCAGCAGTGGAACCTGGCCTGTCGTAGTGATTAACTGAGGTAATACATGTAAAGTGCTTGGCACAGTGCCAGAGCCAGGGCTCGGCTCCAGAGCCTGTGGGCTTAACCATCCTATGCCATTGCTTCCCAGCTCGCTAGGGAAACCGAGACGGCGGGCATCTAAGGCTTCGTGGGAAAGGTCACAGGGCGAGTGGAGAGGCTGAGAGAGGAGCTCCTCAGGGGTGACTGGGGCACAGCGTGGGTTTGGCATTCCAGAAAGAAGAGATAGCATGTGCTGGGGTAGGACCAGTATATGCCTGAAGCTCAGGGAGCACGGTGTGGGGGGCAGGGGGGGAGGGGCTGGATTTGAGGCTAGGGAGTTGGGCTGGGGTAGGTCACAGAGGTCCTCATGGACCAGCCCTAAGAGGCTAGATTTTGGTCCAGCGTAGGTAGCGAGAAGGCACCCACTGTTTTCAACAAAGAAATGAAATGATCATTTTGGGATTTTAAAAAAGATCCTGCTCTCAGGGCAGCAAGGCTGGAGGAGGCGCAACCAGTTAGGAGAATGTGTTTGGGGTCCAGGTGAGAGATCATGGTGGCGGGGGGTGGGGGGTTGCTCGGCCAGTGGCAGGGGATACAGAGCAGTGGCGGGGTTCAGGAGATGTCTTGGGCAAAACCAACAGGACATGGATTGTGTAGTGTCAAGAAAAGAGTGGAGTCTCTCCCGCTTTTGCCTTGGGTGGCTCCGGAGAGGGTGATGCTGATCATAAAGACGGTGAAACTGTGTGTATCGATGCAGACATTATTCAGAAGGGATATTAAACCTATCAGCTATGGAGGGAATCGTAGATTAAATCGATTGATGACTTCACAGGCCCCGTTCCACGACTCGATAACTCCTCAAGATCATAGTGCAAAGAATTGCAAACACATTGACTGCATGTTTTATTGCCTCGTAGAGGTAGAACAAGCATTTCCTAGAGGCTCTCTGATGTGTCTCTAGACCAGAGTCTGTGGCCCCTAGTACCTTAGCCCAGGGCCAGGCCCTGCTGTTTGCTCTGTGCACGTTATGTGAGACACCATTGGGATAAACACTTAGAAAGATTTCAGAACTTTGCCACCCTCTTCAACCAAGGAGTAATAAAACTTAGCAATAACAACAACAGAAAAACAATATAGCTTCTTAAAATTATCTACATATTGTTTTTAGGGAATAGGGAATGATTTTTTTTTTTAAAAAAAAAAGAAAAAGAAAGAAAAACAACCACTATAACATTCTGGTATATTTTTGGTGCTGCTTTCAAGATTAGCTTGAACCTCCTTTGTCAATTAGGACTATTTCTAGTAAGAAAATCCTCTTCTGTTTGCAAAAAAAATGTTGATTTCTTATACAAATGTTATACAAAACCCTTTTGTTGTACTCACAATTCGACTACCCTAACAAACATCCATTTTTATTTTTCCATATTTCCTTTCTGTTCCAATATTTGTGTAAACATAAGTTATAACCATAGCATAAATGTCGTTTGAGGTCTGCTATTTCATATAACATTGTGTCATAAGCATTTTCTGTATTGTGACATAGTTGTCGTTACCATCATTTTTAATGCCTGTATAATATCTTATTGAGTATATGTAGAATCATTTATTTAGCCAGTTCCCTATCACTGGACATTTATTTTTTTTTCCAATTTTTAGTAGCCTTGCACATAGCTTTTTCTTATTTTAGATGATTTCCTTGGAATGAATAAATCACAGTGTATAAATGTTTTTATTGTAAAAGTAATTATGGGAAGGGTCGCATTAATAAACGACATTACCAGCAATGAATATTTGTTTTACCACCTCCGTGACAGCACTTGATAGTATTATTTTCAAATGGTATGCTAATATCAGAGCATTAAACAGGGTACCTTCCTGTGGAGCCCGTCTGCATAGGAGAAATTTCCCAGATGGAAATACAGGAAAATTTCTGGTTTTCCTCATCAACTAGAATGTGTTTATCTTATAGATGCCGGGACGCTTGTAACTTTATTGAATTATCATCTTTCCTCGGGTAGGTAGGAAACTCCGAACCCAAATCAACCCACTTTTAACCAATGTGAAGAACCCCCCCCTAACCCGGCCCTATTTTTATGCTTCTAGTATTTTCCCTCAATCTCTTTTGGCATATTTATATCCGTTCATTATCGTGCCTTTGTGAACAGCTGCTTCAGATCTTGGCTCTGACACCAGTCATGTGACAAAGGCCTGGACGGCATATTTGGCCAGAGGTTCAGATTAGCGGCCCGAGGTGAGGAAGCCACGAGACCCTGGTGTGGTCTCAGACTGCATAACAGGACAGAGCGCTTAGCCCTGTCGCTGACAGCCGGGGTCCAATCCCATTCTGAATAGGTCATTTTCCTGGGATCACAGCCATTTGAGAGGGACGTAGACAAAGTGGGAAGCCCACGTCCTTCGTTTACAGGAGGTAGAGTTAAAGAAACCAGGGATACGGTACCAACAGAGTGATGCCATTGGAGAACTCAGAGAAGGATCGCATCATTTTGTTCTGTATCATCACTAGGAGACGACAAAGTGGCATCGCAATGTCATTTCCTTAGATTCGCTAACTATACTCGTGAGGAATGCAGCGTGCGCTGCCCCATCCATTCTCCACACTGGAGACAGGTTAGCTTCTTAACGTCCAGACACGGTCATCCTTCACACTACCCATTCTAGATGCTCAGCATCCCTCTAACTCGTCCACTTCTTTCCATCCCGCCGATGCCAATTTAGTTGAAGCCGCCATCATCTCTCCCTCCGATTAGGGGAGGACTACATAAACCCCTGAGTCCCCAGATGTCGGGGAAGAAGTCTAAGGCACAGAGAGGTTAAACTTTTTCCAAGTTCAGACAACTAGCAGGGTCACAGTAAATGTTTGTTGAATGAGCAAACCAGGCAATGAGAGTATCCGTGGATGGAAGAGGGGAGGGTATGAATGGACCCACAGAGATTCATCCCCAGCTCTGAGAAAGTGCTCAGTGTTCATGCCCTACCTGTGGTCAGTGAGCGCTAGGGAGGACAGCATGCAGCCTTGCGCGCTCTGACCATGGGTGCCTGCTCCATGCTGTACTACAAGGGAAGGGAGTCGGGCAGAATTTGGTTAGACCTCAGAGAAAAGTCCCTGGAAGTAAAAGGGAACGAGTCATCAGGACAATCAGTGGTAACAGTGGGTAACATTTATTGAACCATTACTAACTGCCAGGCACTGGTGCAAATTATTTACGTATGTTTATTCTTCAGCTCAGCTCATCACAAAAAATTCCCTGAAGTAGGGGTTATTATCATTCCCATTTGATAAATGAGGAAACGGAATCATTTGACTGTTAAAAAACTGGCCCAGGGGCTCTCGACTCACTCAAAGCTGAGCTTGGATCTAATCCAAGCAGTCTAATTCCACAAGCCGTTGCCCAAGGACCTGCACTACCCTGCCTCTCCACAGACCTCAGCTCTGTCAGCACCAAGGATGAGGCCCTTTAGTTGTATTTTCACCTGGGCACATGGCCCCATCCTCCCAGATTTCTGGCAAATGTGTGTGGTTGTCCTGGACAACAGCAGTTAGCATCCTCCACTCTGCAGATGAGTAAAGGATAGCCTCGGGGGCAGGGGAGGGCTTGTTCCTTCATTCATCAGAAAAGGATTGAGCTCTTCCCGTGTGCCAAGCCCTGTGCCAGGTCCCTGCCGTCATGCAGCTTCCATTCAGGTGAGGGAAGCAAGAGAAAAAAAGCACTCAGAGGGTGGGCCAGCAAGCTCACTGCAGAGCGCTAAGCGGGAAGCACACACAAAGCTGGGCCACGTGATACCGAGGGACTGCCATGCGACTCTGCATCGGCTCATCGGAGGAGGTCGCTGGGCAGAGGCACCTCCCTCAGAGGCCAGCCTGTGGTGAGGGAAGGAGCCAGTCTTGTGAAGATCCAGGTGTAAATGCATTCCAGGCAGAGGAACGGCAGTACCAAGGCCCCCAGTGGGGAGCAGGTTGGGTTGTGTTTCTGGGACTAGGAAAAAAAAAAAAAGCCATCGTGTCTGGGACCCAGTGAGTAAGGTTGAGAATGGGACAAGGGAAGGCCAGGAGGTAAGCAGGGACAGGTTACAGAGGCTGGGGGTGGGTTTTAGTTCCAGGGGCGCCACTGGAAGCCACTGGCGGGCTTCAAGCAGGGGAGTGACAAGTTCTGGGTCAACAGGTACTCTCCCCGACGTTGTGAGTAGGAGGGGTGAAGCTCAGAGCCACCAAGTGAGCCCCACAATCACTCAGGCGCACCCCTCCCACGTCCCTGAGGCCAGGTGTCTTCTCGGGGTCCTGACGGACTCCTAATAAGCCAATGCAACCAAGGATATATGTTCTCCCTTCTTTAGACTGCTGTTTGTTCAGTGCAGTCGCTGTGCTCCCAGCTTCTCCTGACGGATAACGGATTCTCGTGTTGACTTGCAGATCATAAGGCAGCAGTTTCCTCAGCTGACCACCAGAAGACTCGGGACCCGAGGACAGTCCAAGTAAGCACCGAAGCCCTTCGCCTGCAGGGACCCAGACCCCAGGCCTTTCACCCTGAGCTCTGTCTACAGGCCTGGCAGGAACTCCATGCCTAGCCAGAGCACGGAGGCACGTTAGACAGCCGGCCATCTCTCCCAGGACCCCCGAGAGAGAGGACGTCTAAAGCCCAGGGCCATCTGGCCCAGCTGCTTTAAGGAATCCGACTTTGTACCACCCTGCCTTTAAGGGCTTTTGTAAAATTGTCTGGAGCATCATTTAAAGGAGCACCTTGTAGCTTCTCGGACAATCTCCAGGTTATTTGGATTGTTTCACCGAGCAGCTCGCTGCTCTCATAGTATCCAGCCAGCCGGTGGAGCGGCCTGTCCTAATTTCTGAGAGGGAGATGGGGAGGGGAGGCTCAGCCATACCGTGGTGCACAGGGCATAGTGCTTTCCACTCATCAGTCCTGTCAACCAGTCTAGCGATATTTGCCTCACACTTTCTATATGTCAGATAATACGGTGCTGAGTGCTGGGGACACAGGAGTAACCAAGTCACTGTCCTCATGGAGCATACGTTCGGTGGGGGGAAGATAGACAGACAATCAGATCGTGACAAAGGGCTGTAGAGAATAACAAAAGGGAAGTGGCCTGGTTGAGAAAGCGTAGTCCCGGAAGGCCTTTCTGAAGAGGTGACCTGAGGGGTGGGAAGCCTATGGAGACACCTCCTAGGTGTGAGTCAGGATGGAGGGAATCTGCCTGTACTGGTCAGGCTTCACTAAAATCTGGATTTATGACTTGCCTAGAAGGGCATTTCAAAAATTGTGGGACATTCATAGGCGTTCCATGGCAAAGGTTCGTGGCCACGTGAGTTTGGCGAGCACTGAGTTAAACAGGTTCCTTGATGCAGGACTTCTCAGAACCTTGATTATGCTAATATACACAGTGAGTTCACAAGGGGGTGCCTTATTATACAACATTTCTAAACATTTTGACCAGCCGAGTAGCAGGTCAGTACCTGCCAACGACTCATAAAATACTGAAACTTTTTAAAAAAACAGACCACGTAAGACTTTAAGACGTGTCACTAAGGGTGATTCAAAAGCGGCGTGTCCAGTGCTGCCCCCTCACTCTTCCCGTTCCTGAGCAGCATGTTCCCATCTTCCCGGGGCGGGTTTATCTTTGGAGCCAAGATAGGTAAAGAAAGCAGATGATCAAACTGGGAAACACCTTTTTTGGTAAAGTTCTGAAGATAGTGAGACTAATTATTTTTGTGTCACTCAGAAGCTCTGGGGGCGATTTCCAAAGAGACATACAGAAAAGTTTTTAGCCAGGGACATTCTGGAATACATTTCTCATAGTTTTCCAAGGTGACTACTCTGAAGAATAAATCTTGTTTCATACTGAGAAATTCCGGTATCCGTTTTAAAATGAGGTTTTCAGCCTTTTTAAGAGTACAGAGTACGAAAGCCAGATTTTTCCTTTCTTGGTTGCTGGTAAGCACAGTAGTTAGCACACAATGGGTGATTCACAGTGTTGGCTGAACAGATAAGTGGATGGATGGAAGAAGGCTGAATGCGTGGAAATGAATTATTTTTCTCCCGCTCATAGTCTCTGGAGAGACACTTACTCCAAAACATAGTTGCCCATTTCTAACATGAGTAGAAATAGATAGTAAAGATAGTAATAATAGAACAAAGTTTTCTCATCCTGTATAAACTTGGAGAAAGTCTCCTTCTGTCCGCATGTGCGAGCCTGTTTTTTTGTTCGTTTGTCTTCGTTTTTCTTTAGCCTAGAGGTTGGCATATTGGGCAATACTTCCTTAAAAATTCCATGTACTCAATTTCCCTCTTTCCTCTCTATAAGAACCCTCCAAGGCTGGTCACACCGCCAACCAATCAAAGGTAATCAGAAGCTCTAGTCTCCAACCCACTGTTGGGCCTTATAGAAAAAAATCCCTCAGCAAATTTACTTGACAGAAGACA